GACTCTCATAGCAAAGTGAGTGTCCCCACACCTCAGTCTGTTTCTGATGGCAAGTGCTAGGTTGTTGCTGTACCACTGTTTTGGTTAATACAGCAGGAGTGTTGCTTTTTAGGCCTGGTCTCCACTAAGCCCCCACTTCGGACTAAGGTACGCAAATTCAGCTACGTTAATAACGTAGCTGAATTCGAAGTACCTTAGTCTGAACTTACCGCGGGTCCAGACACGGCAGGAAGGCTCCCCCGTCGATGCCGCGTACTCCTCTCGGCAAGCTGGAGTACCGGCGTTGATGGCGAGCACTTCCGGGATCGATTTATCGCGTCTTAACCAGACGCGATAAATCGATCCCAGAACATCGATTGCCTGCCGCCGGACCCTCCGGTAAGTGAAGACATACCCTTAATGATGAGCTCCTGAAGAACTCAGTTTCACTCTCCCTCTCTTTGCTCCTGGAATACTGCTTGAAGGTGCATTTGCCTGTATTGAGGGTGTGTTTCCCTAGCTGATATGTCAAGGGTTTGAGTCCTGTAGATTCCTCCTGGTCTGTTGTGTGGAAGGAGCTAGTAATCGAGCCCCTTTCCAGTTTACATGTTGAGTTCTTCTTGGTTACAGATCCTTTATGCTCGGGATGTAGATCAGCGCAGCACCACCTTTGAGAAGTCCTTATTAATGGGCAAAGAGTTCCAGCGACGTGCCAAAGCCATGATCCTGCGGGCAGCAGTCCTGCGCAACCAGATACACGTCAAGGTGAGCAAAGGGCCCTTTTGTCATGGAATCTGAGATAAAGGGCAACCATTTGAATGATGTGGTGCAGAGGGGTAAAAGCTGGGGGGACTCTAGGGAAAAGAGGTTTGCTATACCCACAAGAGGATGGATTCTGAGAATGTTAGAGAATGGAGCTTGCAGCTAGCAGGACAGTTCCTGGTTACTATTTACTCCAGTCAGTAGGTGAGTGGCTGGTTAAATTACTACAAAGGAATTAATTATTCATAACTTTTATTTTCATGAGGAAAATTGAAATACATATGTTGACTGGAGCAATCCTGCCCAAGAGATGGTTCCGCAGGACAGTGCCCTGGAGAGAGCAGGCTGACTGCTCTATAAAGTATTCACTGGATTCTATTGATGCTGTCGTAGTATGCTCATCCCTGTGGTATCTAAGTGCCAAATGGCATTCAAGTTCTGAATGGGTATTTTGATTCAAGTTAGGTGACCCATCACACACCTTGAATAGCTGAAGTGAATAGTTTGCAAACACCCCATAGTCTGTAAACTGTTGTGCAAATATTTTGTGAATAACATTCTTTTGCAGAAATAGTGAATGACTTATTAACAGAAAAATGATTGAAACTTAATATTTATTTGCAACTAAATAAACAAGCTTTGTGCTCCTTGTGTGTAGGGCCCACTCTCTCCACTCAGTTCCTGCTGGGAAAGAGGGAAGACTGAGCTGAGAATGCCACTATCCTGCTGTATTGTTTACGTGTGCTGAGCATGCCCTCTTTGGGAGTGTTCTGTGTTTAGAGCCCTGGTGCAGGGGCAGCTCTGTGTTTAGAGCCCTGGTGCATCACTAACCAGGACTGTATTTTGGTTTTCTTATTGCAGTCTCCTCCACGAGAAGGTAGCCAAGGCGAGCTCACTCCAGCCAACAGCCAGTCCCGAATGAGCACCAACATGTGAAAATCTTCATGTACGATCAAAGAACTCCCACACTTCCCTGCCCCAGCTGTTTGTCCTATGTCCTAACCACAGACTACTGAGCTTCACAAACTATCCCTGTCATTCTCTCTCTCTCTCTCTCTCTCTCATTGGGGCTGGGAGGGTCAGGGCTGATGGTGGGGGCTAATGTTCAGATTCACATAACTTAATTCCTTTAGAACAGAAGCTGTCACTAAATGCAGCGTCCCTGGAATTGTCCATCATTTCAGTGCTGGTTGCATGTTCTGTGCCCTCTCCTCTGTATCCTCCACCCCAGAAAGAACTGGTGGTTTATTTCAGAGAGATGCTGATCTTGGGTCTCTTCAGCTGCTGTTAGAGCTTTCCAGGATCAGAACTGCAAAGGAAGATTGTAAGTTCGATGGATGGGGGTGTATCTAAAGGAAGACTGTTTCACTGACCTGAAAGTGTTGCCTTGTCTCTGAGCAATGCAGTGCTTTTCCTTTACTTCAAAGACCTCAGACTGAAATGCTCTCAATGGTATGGGCCCAGAATTCAGCCAGAGGGGAGCTCCTCTCAGGAAGCACATTCTAGAACTTCTCACCCACCCTGGGAAATATGGCCCCACTTCTGCGTACTCAAAGACATTTATTTCAGGTTGTTGCACTTACCCTGGATCCAACCTCTTTCAATCTGGCCTGTCCCTTTTTCAAAGGCCTGTTTCCTGATTTGCTCCAACATGCATATCACTTGGCTTTGGATTTTGGTGGTGGTTCACCACTGCAGTAAGGCTCCATCTTGTGCAAATACTGTTGCTTGTCCGTTTTACTTCATCAGTGTACAGTGGCTTCTTAACCTGTGCACCAGTGCTCCTGGTGACATAAGTCAATGCCATAAAAATACAACACATCAGGTCTGGGACAGAAACCAAAATAAGCCAGCCCAGGTGTCTGCTCGGCAGGTGCATCTGTCCCAACTTTCCTTTTATAAATGGGTTTAAGGTGGCAGCCCAGACCCGTATAGTGTTGTGTTAATGAGCGTAGTTAAGTGTTGAATGTTCTGGAATTACAGCATCTTTACATTCATCCAGTCCCATAGGACAAAGTTAAGAATTTTGATCCAGTCCTGACTGGTCCAGCAATTTACTACAAACCAATGTTATTGTTAATGCTATTTTTGTTTTAAAATAAGTCGTTATCTCTAGTGCATTAAAGAGGGTAATTAAAAAGCTCATTGCAATGTTTGGAGTTTTGTGTTAGTTGCTTTTAGCTTTGTCTTGATTCTTTTCTTTTATACTAAACTTGGTGATTTGACAGGCTGCTGTTTTGAGCATTTTAATGTGGTTGGAGGTGTTTCGAAATAAGGTAATATCACTTGTATGAGGAGGTATGAAGAACGCCGCTCAATGGAGTTTTACTGTCTTGCTTTTCTGGCAGCCATGTGTAAGATGCATTTGTGTAGTTGCTAAACTGCAGCAGCTTCCTCCATTTGCAGATTTCTGTTGCTGAAGCATTTTGTGGCTTATGTGGAGAAAGTTGAGGCAATACTTACTCTGAAGTCTTTAGTTAGGTGTTGTCCATATTTTGGAATTTCAGTAACTTTGCATTAATCCAGGCCCATCTTTGGAAGGGCTGAACTCACCTGAATAAGATCTGGTTCCAGGAAGCTTGGCTATTTTACCCTGATTCTCAGAAATACTGATTTAAGGTCCTGGTCTAGTATAGACCAGGCCTGAGTCTATTTTAAGGCTGTGCAAAGGCCTCCCAGCCCCCAGTGTAAATTAGAACAGCCTCAATGGTCAGAGGCAGCCAAGAATAGTTGGAGTGCAGTGTGCTATGGCCCCTTCTCTTTCCCCCTCCCAAGGTCCAATATTCTGTGGTCCTTACCCAGAGGCTTGGGAGGGGAAGAGTGTTGAGCTGCTTTGACAGCGGAGGCGCACCCCCTTACACATTAGATACTCTCTAAGGGCCACTTCTACACACTTTATGCTACTGTAGTGATCTACAAAGTTTGTCCCTAGAGAGAATTGGGTCCTTTCTATCCGAGGCATAGATTTCTCAGCCATCTGGTCACCCGCAGAGATGGAGAATACTTTGTTCTTGATCTGAGACCTGCCTCAAAATGGAATTGTAGATGTCACAATTTGAAAGGCCTAGGTCAGGGGTAGGCAACCTATGGCATGTGCGCCAAAGGCGGCACGTGAGATGATTTTCAGTGACATTCACACTACCCGGGTCCTGGCCACCGGTCCAGGGGGCTCTGCATTTTAATTTAACTTTAAATGAAGCTTCTTAAACATTTTAAAAACTTTATTCACTTTACATACAACAATAGTTTAGTTATATATTATAGACTTACAGAAAGAGACCTTCTAAAAATGTATGACTGGCACGCAAAACCTTAAATCAGAGTGAATAAATGAAGACGCGGCACAGCACTTCTGAAAGATTGCCGACCCCTGGTTCTAGGTCGTATTCAGCAAAAGCTATTTTTCTTTAAAAAGGGAGCAGGATTCACGATATTTTGAAGTGGAAGATTCAGCTCTAGTCCATCCACTCTTAAGTTCCACGTCTTTAGCAAGGATGCTCCGATTAACGATGGCTATTAGTCTACAAAACTACTGTTCTCATCCTTAAATTAGAACAGCCATCAAGCCAGGTTCTTTATGCTCAAACAGCAATTCTCCTCCCTGGCCTAATTAATAACCTGCACATTAACTGGGGTACAAAACAAATGTTGTGCAAAGGTTGACAAACAAGATCCACCCTAGAGGCCAGCTTAAGCCAAAATGCAAGAGACCTAGTACCAAAAAATACTGAATAGGGTCAGGTTTCAGAGTAGCAGCCGTGTTAGTCTGTATCTGCAAAAAGAACAGGAGTACTTGTGGCACCTTAGAGACTAACAAATTTATTAGAGCATAAGCTT